TGTGCTACATTGATCTATTACTTTCTCTGCAAAAATGGAGTCTTTTCTCAAGGAAAAGGAAAAAAAAGCTCAGCGACAAAGGCGATGGAGAGATTATCACTGTGGTTGGTGCAGCCTATTATTGCTTATGCCTTCTTCGGGCTAGTTCGACAGAGCTCTTCCTGTTTCAAATTCTTTGTAGAAGCTGATTCTTTTTTAGAAGTGATTCTCTATGATTTTTTAGATAAACTCTGTGCATACAGTGATTCTGCGTATGAAACGAATCAGGAGAAGCTACTTTTCATCTCTCAGCCATTTAGTTTATTTCAGAGAATCACTTCACAGAATCAGTGAAGAATCACTTCTCGGTTAAAAACTATTTGGCAAAGCTTTCTACTGGATTCAGCCCGGAAACTGTTCAAGGAGCTCTACCAAACTGACCGTTAGCTTGTTTAGCTTCTTTATGTTCCCGTGCTGGTTGTCAATGTTGTTTCTTTTGGACCTGATGTGTTTGGTTGTAGAGAGGGTAGAATGCATTAGCACATGTTATGACAACAGAGGTGGACCTCGTCTTAAGCAGGACCCACCATAAGGTCAAGGGTCGGTTTACACGATCCGGATGCTTTAGGAATATTGGATGTGTCTTGGAGAATCAAGGAACCTTATCTTAATAAGTGGGATCGGCGTAAGGTCTAGAGCCGACTTACACAATCTGAATGCCTTAGAAATGGAGGTGTCTTGGAAGAAAGTCTATGAACTAAGGTCTTGTTTGATCCATAGAACTAACAATTAATTGACTAATTTTTAGTTCTAAATATATAAACAGACGGAGTAATTATTAGTCCACTAGCCATGGACTAGTTATTAGTGCAAGTACATCCAAACAAGCCCTAAGAACTATCCTCTGGTTGATAGTTGATATACAGATTTGCATATATGATCGAAATCCTCTGAACCATGCATGGGCCTATCAATAATTCAATATGGAGACCCATCGTACACGGTAAGGAAACAAAAGCATGCACATACGCGTCCTTATGATTCTCATGAATTGTCAATTAATTTTCATCAAATAAACTTTGCTCACTAAAGGCCTATTTGTTTTGAAGTGACTAAACTTTAGTCACTTTTAGTCCCTAAAGTTCCAAACAGAGCGAGACTAAAAGATGACTAAAGTGCTTTAGTCCCCTCTAGTCCCTTGGAGGTGACTAAAGATGACTAAAGTAGTTTAGTCTCTAAAGTTTAGTCACCACAGACCAAACAGGCCCTAATCAGTAATTAATAAAGTCATGAGGGTTTTACCTATGTACCATTAAAAAAATGGTCGTTGCCTACAAGCCACTAAAAAGTTCGAGCGCACCCATATGCCACTGGCTGAAACTCTTTTGTCCTCCACGTCATTCCGTCCACTTTTACCTCTAACGGTATAAACTACGGTGAAAAAAATCTAAAATACCCTCATGTGTGAAAAGTATACAAAAGTTCGTTATTTCTCTGGTGCCACTGATCCCGGCACACGCCAGCTCTATTGGGCCAGTGGCCAAAGTCTGGACAAACCGTGTTCCCAATCAAATTTTGGCCCCGTTTGCTTGGAGGAATCTGAAAAAATATGTAAGAGAAATCAGCCGGCTACAGTAAATTTCAGCCGGCTACCAGCCGAACTAGCCCTTCGGGAGCTCCGAATCTCTCAATCAATCTTTTCACCCGGAACCTTAAAATTCTAAAATGGTATTGTAGTACGTTAGACTGGCTAGAACTTTTGTTAAGGCTACTAGACAAGTTAAGCATTTTTGCAAGAAAACAACCACTCAAGGTTCAGTGATGAACGTTCACATGGTCTGGACTGTCTGCGTCGACGCCCTAAGCTCACGCCGGCGTTCGGCTGCACAGTCGCACGATCAACCACGCCCGCTCCCTCTAGCCTTGCATTGTTTGCCTCGCCCTGTGTGAGCGTGCCAGCTCTGCTCGTGCGCCGCGGGTGCTTTTGCCTCGCTGCGCCGCGCATCGCCTGGCGGCCGCACTGGCAATTGTCGCGGCATCGCCATGGCGGGCACGCTGGGCAGACGAGCTCCACCACGCCACGTGAGCCACCTACGCCGCTAGTCGTAGCTGCCTAACCTGCCGCCTCGCGACGCTCGCTGTGCCCTGTCCCATCGCGCGGCTGCCGCTCACGTGACTGGGACCACACGCCATGGCCGCCATGCCGTAGCGGCCTAGCATGCCGCCAGCTGCCGCGCTCGCGGTGCTCGTGGCGTCGGCGCGGCCTGCCTGCATCTCGCCGTCGCCGTTACGCTGAGACCCGCCGCAGCCTCGCCAGTCGCCACCGATCCGTCCGTCCATGGCCTAGCGCTGCCGTCTCTGCCATGGCTGCTGATGCCGCGATGTTTTTGCCACTGGCCGTGCTTTTGCGGTTTTGCCTCGCTGCGCCGCCGCATCGCTTTGGCATTTGGCAACCACCGCAGGCACGGCCTAGAGCCCGAGATCCTGTATAAAATACTACTACTTGCCAAGGCACGCTACCCATCAATGGCAATGCTTTCGATGGGGCCGCGGCGGCTACTGCTGCTATTCTCCACCATTTGCATCTGGACGCCCATGGCCGTCGCACAAGCCGACGACGAGGCCGCGCTGCTGGCCTTCAAGGCCGTGGCACTACGCGGTGGCTACGGCGAAGCACTGGCCTCGTGGAACAGTAGCAGCACCGGGCATGCCCGATTGTGCAAGCACGTAGGAGAGGGGCAGGGGTGGGCTCGGCTCCGGCGGCCGGCGGTGCTTGACCGTGCTGCGCGGCGGCCGGGACTCCAGGACGGCGGCACTCGGCGCGCGGGCAGGGATGACTGCGGCGCTGGGGTGTCGGCCGCGCGGAATTCGGCGAGGCGGCGGCGACCGGGACAACGCGCTGCGCGACCACCAGGGCGGCGGCACGGGCGGGTCGGTGCGGGCACGTCAACTCGACGCGCGGGTGAGATCAAGGCGGCCCGGCGCGCAGCTGCAGTAAGCAGGGCAGCCGCGCAGCGCGGCACGACGAGGAGGCGCCTGTGCTCCGGCGTGGCTGTGCATGGCGGGGTCCGGCGTTCGAGCGCGGAGGCTACTGCGATCGGCGGCGGCAGCGCGCGGGCCAGCTCTGCCCCGGCCACCGTGACCGCGCGCACGCGATCTCCGCCTCGGCCATGGAGACCGCGCCGGAGATGGAGGCCCTGTGGCCGTCGAAGACCCGCACACGATCTGGTCTCGCGAGCGCAAGGACCGAGGGCGGGCGGGACGGGCGAGTGCGGCAGACAGCGCCGTGGGGAGCAGGAAGGATGAGGAAGGGTATTTTGGCCTTCCTTAGGCTACCCAAATTTCACCGTTTAGGTAACCTACAGGAAACAAGTAACTATCTAAATTCTTCCGTCTCCAACAGCGAATGCAAAATATCTTCGGTCCTCTCTTCCTCTCTCTCCCACGCGCCTGCCTTTCTCTCTTCCTCTCTCTCCCACGCGGTCGTGCAGGGCATGGCGACGGCGACGACGTGGGGCGACGGCGCGCGCCGGCGCTGGCGCGGCGCTCGAAGCAAGCGGCGCCCACCGTGGACGCGGCCTGCCTTCTTCCCTCCCTCTCCCGGCCGGATCCGGCCCCCTCCCTCCCCTTCTTCTTCCCCGACCCTCCCTCTCCCGGATCCGGCCGGTGGTGCCCGCGCCGGCAGAGCTCGCGCCCGGCGGAGCTCGCCCCCGCGGCCCGGCCGAGCTCGCGCCCGCGCCTCGACGGAGCTCGAGCTCTTGCGTCGTCTTGCGGCAGAGATTTGCGTCACCGGCTGCTGAAGACGCTTATTTGCCTTTCCCTTCGGCTGGTACGCAAAATCGGTCGGCTGTTTGGGTCTTCCGTTGGACACCATTTTTGACGATGCAAACCACTGTTGAAGAGGCATTTTGCGTTTGCATTTCGTTATTGGAGAGTCTTACTAGCTTTGCTCACATGTCAGGACGCGATGGGAGGTGAACGGAACGATGTAGAGGGAAAAAAAGTTTCGACAGTGACATTTGGGTGCGTTTGAATTTTTAAATGGCTCCTAAGTAACAACTATCTTATCGTATATTATGGTAGAGTAATTTCTAAACGCCTAACAACATTCGCATACATAGAGTATATTCGCTGGTTGGTTTCTAGGCTAATAAGTTTAACTAGTGCTAGTTTATTGTGAGAGAAAAATACTATTAGCTGGCTGATAAGACCGGGCTGAAAACACCAAACAAACAGGCCGATAAACTGATAAATCGATACGTGCGCAACCATTTCAATCGAAGGCTAGGATCATAGGTTAAACTGCGTGCCAGCTAGGGCCTCAATCTGCCGTACGGAACTTCGATACTCCAAAGTAGGAGTATATACTAGCACACGCACACAATTTGCCCTAGATCGAGGCCTTTCCAAATATGGTCCCGCTCGGCTTATCCTCATATTTAGCTTGTTTTTTAAATCGGAACAATATTTTTCTTTCACAATAATTCTACCAAACAGTATTTTAACCAAGATTCAACGAACCGAACGAGGTCATAGCATAATAATACATCGATCATTGAAATAGACCGTCAGATGCTAAGCATCATCCTGATCCAAAATTACACAAGTATACAACGTGTGTACTACTAGAACTGGTCACTCCAGCAAACACGTAGGTCCCGTTCGCTTCGCTGAAAAAACAAACCAAAATACTATTCCAGATAATTTGCTGTGAGAGAAAACACTATTTCGACTGAAAAAATAAACTGAAAAAGATAGATTAAAAGATAAGCAAACATGGCCGTAGTAGCAGTACACACTAGCCTGCTAATTTTGACCATGGCTAGCTCAAAACGGCATGCAATCACCAACTAGAGCTCGCCGCTCTAGCAAACACCTACGCGCGCATGCAGCATGGCACGCACGCGCTGGATTCGTGCGCGCGTCACACCCGGGCCAACGCCCAATCCATGTATCGGCCGGCTCAAAAACATGGTCACGCGATTGACGCGCAGCAATAATCACACGGCCGGCACGCGTCATCAGAATGTGGGCACGACGCCGTAGCCGGCGGCGAAGTCGAGCACGTAGGGGTAGGATGGCTGCTGCTGCGACGACCACGCCGGCGCCGCGGCAGCCGCGTCGAAGTCGGCGTCGTTGTCGTCCGCGCGCTTCGCGAAGCGGCCCTTGATGCGCGGGCGCGACTCCGCGTAGGCCTTCCGGGACGCGTAGCGGATCGTCTTCTCGAACCGCCGGTTCTTCCGTTTCTCACGGTACCGCATCAGCCGCGCCTCCCTGCTCTCCGCGGCCGCCGCCGGCGTTGTCGCGACCCTGCCCGCCATGACCCCGTCACTGCGCTCCGGCACCGCACCCACGTCCAAAGACGACACCTGGACGACATACCAAAACCAAGTTCAGTTGGGTGCATAACTGCGGCCTTGTTTAGATTGAAAAAAAATTCAACCCGATAAATAGTAGCATTTTTGTTTTATTTGATAAATATTGTCCAATCGTGGACCAACTAAGTTCAAAAGATTCATCTCGTGATTTCCAACTAAACTGTGTAATTAATTATTTTTTTACCTACATTTAATGCTCTATGCAAACGGCTAAAAATTAATGTGATAAAGAGAGTGAAAAAACTTGGAATTTTGAGGATAACTAAACAAGGCCTGCATATCCATCATCGATCATCCTAGGCTCCTAGCTATAGCAACTTGCACGCTCTTGGTCCTGCCTATGAAAGTAGGCTGCTGTTCTCTAGCTGGGAGCGCAGAGCACATGGTCTTACACTGTGGGTAGGAGTTGCAGCAGCGTAAGGTAGGTAGGCCGCCTTCGACTGCGCGAAGTCGAGCTCGATGACGCCGCCGGTCACGCTCCCGCCGCGGCCGCACATCACGTCTGGGACCAGGCCGACCTCCTCCGACGAGCCCTGCTCGACCAAAACCAAAGGCGAGAGGAAGATTAGGTACTGTGCTACGTAATCTAGGAAGACTAACGGCGTGTTTAGTTCCACCCAACTTCCAAAAAGTTACTACAATACCTGTTACATTGAATATTTACGACTCATGCATAGAGCATTAAATGTAGATGAAAAGATAAACTAATTGCACAATTTGGTGGGAAATTACGAGACGAACGTTTTAAACCTAATTAGTACATATTTGAACACTATTTATCAAATAAAAACGAACATATACAATACCCCCAAATCCAAATTCCTATAACTAAACAAGGGCTAAGGCTGTCTCGGGAGACACCTCGCGGAACAAAACAAAAAAAAAAGTCTCCAACGCACTACAGAATACCCAGCATAGTATCAACGGAGTACCTACGAGGACTCATTTTAGACGACGACACTGAGAGACTCATTTTATATACGAGGAGAGGCATAGTTTAAATCTAAATTCATTTTTAAAAAAATTATTTTTAAATCTTATTGTCAGATAAGATAAAAATATATATTAAAGTCTTTGCCCGTAGCGCTACAAAGGACACTTACGCTGTGCCCGAGCGACGCCGCGGTGTAGGAGCTGTAGGACGGCTTGGCAGCGACGGCTGCGGCGGCGACGCCACCCCCAAAGTCAAGGTCCACAGCGCCGACGCCGGATCCGTTGTTAGGCACAACGCTGTCGGCGTGCGGGAACCTGCCACCAGCGAAGTCTTGGCCGAAGAACGGGTCCATGACGTCCGCGAACAGGAAGTCCAGCTTACCGGCGTCGACGACGACCTTGGCCGCCGTGGCGGCGTCGTCGTCGTCCTTCTCTTCGGCGGCGGCGCCGAACAGCAGCGCCTCCGCGGCGGGAGCGGCCGCGCCGATGGGCTGCACGGGCACGCGCTCGTGGCGGCGCGCCAGCGGGTTGGCGTCGTGGATGTCGGCGTCACACGCGGCGCAGAGCGCGGCCGCGTCGGCGCGGCACGTGACCGCGGCCGGCGCGCGCTCGCACACCTCGCAGACCCACACCCTGTCGTGCCCCGCCCGCGCGTGGCCCGCGTCGCACCCCGTGCACAGGTACGCTCCGCCGCCCGGGCACGTCCGGCAGTGCACCGCCGCCGGCGAGCCGCCGCACGCCCCGCACCGCCGTCCCCCGACACCCCAGTACCTCCCCACCTGCAGGGCCTCCATCGAACGTACGTGATCTCCTCGATCGATCGCTCTCTCAACCGGCAGCCGTGATGATGGCACTTGCTAATGGCTTGCTGCTAATGGCAGGATTAATTAGCAGGAAAGCTTGCGAAGCTGGAGCAAGCTGCGACTATTCCTTGCTTTATAGGGGAAGAAGGTTGAAGCAGCAGCCGCGCCCGCGTTCGTCTTGTTGGGGTGGGCGCGCTTGTTGGGGCGGGAGATGGTACCCGTAGGTGGGGCAGGGGCGGCGACGGTGACGTGGGCTTGGGGGACACGTGGGCTGCCGCGGGCCAAGCGAAAATACGCGAAATGTTGATCTCGTGGATTTTTGGGTGGTGGAGGCCCACGTGCCGATGCCGGGTCATGGGAGCCGTGGGGCCCGCTCGAGCTATCGTCTTGGGAGGATCTAGCATGGCGATCACTGGTCTTGGGCCTCTTGGCCGCCAGGGATTAGGTCACTAGACAGCCAGGGTTCGGACAATCGCTGTACGGATTACGCTATTTAATCGTAGCATCCCTGCAGCTTATCGCCGCGTGTAAATGCTAGATCATCAGTTCGATCACTAATATATTTAAACTTCACGCTTAGACAACGGTTTAGGCTGCCTTTTTCCGGCACGACAAAGCCTAGCTTAAGCTTTATGACACAAGCTAACTAAACCGATGACCAAGGTAATTTGCGTGAGTATGTATGTAAACGATAAGATCGAGCAGCAGCCACAAGATATTACGACGTACGAAAGCGGCAACTCAGACGCGTCAGACTCAGCCTCACCGCGCGATTAACCTCAAGGAGGCGCTAAGAGGCAAGGGTACGGGCCAACTTATCGACCGGTTTATCAGCTGGAATCTACAGTATTTTTCTCTCACAGCAAAACAGCTTCAGCTGACTTATTAGTCGGCTTTAATACCAGCCAAACAAGCCAGCTTTATGGTGGGCGGTTTGACGTCGTCGTTTTGGCCAGCCACCGCCCGCGTTGACAGTCAAGAGTACTGAGTACTGTAGTTATATACTCGTAAGTAGTTGAAAAGTATAGTATTAATGGACGTACTTGTGAGTAATTAACGACCACTTATCTTCATCGTTGACATGTGATACCATCGCTGCCAGTCCACGTCCGTCTAGCTGGCTTTGCCTTCCCACCCCGCCCGGAGACCAGTCGGGCACTAGCTGGGATAGTGGGATCTGCGCTGCGAGGCTGCGACTCAGGGTGGGCGTTCGGTTCTCGGTTCGGTTTCGATTCGGTTCCTTCGGTTATCGAAGAAATTCGGTTCATATAAAACGGGAACCGATCGGTTCCAAAAATTTTTAGGAACCGAGCATTTCGGTTCTCGGTTAGTTTGGTTCGGTTCCGGTTCTAACCGAACTAACCGAATTTTTTCAGAAGACCTCAAGACAATAATAAATATACTTGTTCTAAGGCAAATTTGTGCAACACTATATTCATTTTTAATAATAATAATATATAAGAAAACAATAGCAATATAGTAACACAAATATATAGCAGTTCAAATATAAAACACTACACATAATCCTACAAAATACAAGTAAGTGAAGTATAATTCATGTAATTCGGTTCTTTCGGTTAATTCGGTTAACCGAGAGTAGGAACCGAATTTTCTTCGGTTATTTCGGTTCTTCAATATCAGGAACTGAATAAGGAACCGAAATTTTCGGTTCCGGTTCTTTCGGTTTCGGTTCCGGTTCTTTCGGTTCGGTTCTCGGTTCTCGGTTATTTTTGCCCAGCCTTAGCTGCGACGACGTGCCGCGCGCGCGCGAAATGTCGCAAATGGCCTCGGTGCATGACCGTGACCCGGGCAAAATTCACCGGATGGCCAGGCCTGACGCCAATTAAACTTTTCGGGGGAGTCCACGCAGATTAATTGCTCTGACGTATATCTACCCCGAAGATTTGAATGCCGTATACTGCTGCTGCTGCCGACGACGACGACAGGGGGATAGCACTCGCTCGATCTTGAGCTACTATTAATCTGTCTGTAGACGTTTCTCGTGTCCTAAAGTAAGAATTATTCACCCTGACGAATTTTCTAGAACAGTCTAAAACTGTTTTGGTTTTGCACAAATACACGTCAAGGATCGCCCGCGATCGCGTGAGGAGTGGCCCCGACCGGCACGCGGCAAATTTTACGTACGTTTGTTGAACAAGTCTATGCTGTGATGAACCCTTATTCCAGGTACTTTCGATTTGAAAAGGGATTAGGGATACCGTGAACAGAGAACAGTCGTGTGATGCAGGAAAGACAGACCGTCCAAAACTCGTCTTTCCAGAGGGAAATCTCCCTCGGAAACACCAACGGATTTGATGCGCTAGGCTGAGGGCGGAGGGCCCCGGCCGGCCGGCCGGCCGGCCGGCAAATCCACCGCAACTTTGGCGCGAGCGCTTCCCGTGGTAGCCAGGGCCCCGCGCGTGTGCTCCACCGCTCGACTCGACTCGATCGGCGGCGGCGTTTCCGCGGCACGGCCGGCGCGGGTCTGCCCGCGTTGACGCGCGGGCGAGCGCGAGCACGCACGCATGAAAGTCGACGACGCGGACGGCGGACGCCGGCCCGTCGCGTCTCGCCGCCCGGTCGGCCTCCACTGGCCTGCAGGGGGGCGACGATCGCGTCGCGTGACCTGCCGCCGAAGGCAACCGCGCGCGGGGGAGGGGACGGGGACGTGCACGGGAGGGCAGGCGGGTCATTTGGGCGCGCGGGTGATGACGAACGGGATGCCGTCATATCCCGTGGACCGACAGGGACAGCGCGGCCGCGATCCGGTGCGGCGGCCGGCCGCGCGCGGCATGCATGTGCCCGCGCCGCTTTGCCGAATCCAGCATGCTCAGTGCTGCTGCAGTCCACTGCTGCTTCGTTTGGTTGGTTGCCGCTTCTGCGAGCATCTCCGCTGGAGATCGCGCCATTAGCTGGCGAGATGATCTCCGACTCCTACTGCTACTTTTGACTTCGGATCGTAGCAGATCATGCATGTCCCCTTCAACAGTTCAGCTGGAGCTCCCTATACATCTTTTCGAAGTGTTGAGCGCTCATTAATCAGTGGCGTCAAGTCTCAGGATGTCACGGATCGGAGGATGCCCGGTGGGCAGCACGCCCAGGCGGATCAGGCCGATCGGGCGCCCCAATCAGCAGTGCGGTGCCGGTGCCGGTGCTGGTGCGCGTATCGAGCTCGAGCATGGGCCGGCCGGGGAGGGTGGGGTGGTGTGGGTGGGCCCGGAGCGGGCAGGTTGACGTGCGCGCTACGATTGGATTGGCCCGTGCCGCCAACCCCAACTCCCTGTCTCCCCTAGGATGCGGTGGGCCCACCCCAGCCGCCACCTTGTTCAAGCTCCTGTGATCATATCATCCTGTCCAATCCAAGCAAGCCGTGTGCCGTGCCCGTTAGGAAGGGAGATTCGGTGGGTCTCGGGTTGGGGGCTTTGGGAGGGACTGTGCATGCATCTGCCGTGGATGCGAAGCCACTCGATCGCCGACTGCAAAACGTCCCGTATCCATCACCGTATGATACGGCGGTCGCCGGTTTGGGTGTGATGCGCTACAGCCTGCGCGGCCTCAACTGTCCAAGGCTGGTGGTGGGTGGCGAGGGTTCCAGACGGTTCCGCCGCCTGCAGCTGCATGTGTAGCTCCTGTTCGTAGATGCGATCCATGCGCCACTGTACTGCCCCAGTTGCGGGCATGGTGGTACGAGTGACTTTTTGGCATGCGCATTGAGGTGGCAGGCCGTGGGTTGACTCATGATCACTAGAGAATCACCGGCTCAACCATCGGCTCATGCAAGGTGTTAGGAGTCGATTAAAAAACATGAGCTGATTCATGGAGAATTACATAATATTTTGATACAGTGCAAATAACGGCCAACCACCCAACAGTATATATGAACTACATCGGCACGAGTAGTCTCCATTCCACAAAATACAAGCAGATAGAAATGCTCCCTCCTCTCCGGTTCATAAAACACAAGCAACAGATAAATTGCTGACCCTCCCCATTATACAAAACACAAGCAGATATACAAATAAGCTCTTCTCTCCATTTGAGAGAACAGAGCATGGACCTATCTTCAATTCGACCATGATTTTCGACCACCGCCGTATGACCCATTCAGCAGTACCATTATCCACATCATTTCAATCCTTTTGGGTTCAAATAGGCTTTCAACAGCTTCGTGGCACATCAAGCCCATCGCACTGTTTGGTGGTCTACTTTGAGATCCGTTTTGAAAGAGGGAGAGAAGTAGTCGAAAGAAACAAGAAAAAGAGGCCTGGAGCTTGAGAAGAAAGGATTTTTTTTATAACAGAGAAAAAAAAAGGACTTGAAGGGATCAAGGGAAAGAAAAGAAGACGTGACCTTGCATGATGAACTCGGCACTTTTGGATGGGCCTCGGGAGGACTTCCCGTTTCTGACACGTACGGGGAGTCAGCATTCAACCTGTACGTGGTGGAGCTGGAGCCAGCAGCCCAGGACGGCAGCACTCTCGTGTCTTGTCCCTGGATGGGTTCCGTGCCTCGGTGCGCCGCGCGTCGGCGCGTGCATGTGCAGTCCGACCGCCTACCGATCTGTCAGAGGAGCACTGGTCACATCTCACATGGACGGGCTAAACGCGGCCGGCCGGTGGCTGTGCCCGCTGGAGAAGTACGCACGCGCACCGTAGGAGTAGATCCATCCATGGACCGATCAGGAAAGGCACGCGTGCCTGCGTGCGCCGATAGCCCACCGTCGTCCGTCGACTCGAGGCAAATGCCTCTGCGGCTCTGCTCAAGTCAGGGAGCCCACACGTGCAGACTGGCAGGCAGGCAGGCCGGAGAATAACCGGGGCAGGTCGTACGTGCCGGCGTCTTTCGGCGCCGACGGATACGGCGATGGTTGAGGTGTCCTCGTTTCGGCGGCGGCGGGCGGCCGCTCATCGTTCTCGCGACGCGACGCGACGTTTATGGGCCGCTTACCGTCGAGTGAAGGACAGACAGTGCCGTATCAGCAGATGATGAGC